CCAGAATATATGCTGCAGGTCTGGTGATACGATTCTAAAATCAATCATCGACCTGCGGCCTAGGGTGTCTTGGTGCCACGTGCACTTTTGGACGTCCTTATGTTCGAACATCGAGTTTGTTATGGACAAACTGTGGTTTGTACTGAAGTCCAATAACAAAACAGCGCTCGTGTTCCTCCCAATCATGCTCCTCCAGGTCTTACTGTCATTGCCTACATGAGTGTTGAAGTCTCCGCGTAGGACAACAGAGTCTCCAGGTGGAGCACCCTCAAGCACTTCACCCAGGGATTCCAAGAAGGCTGGGTTTCTGAACCGTTGTTTGGCCCATAAGTGCAGACCACAGTCAGGACCCGTTCCCCAACCCGTAGGCGCAGGGAGCAAACTCTCTCGTCCACCGGGAGAAACCCCAACGTAGGGGCAGCAAGCCAAGGGGATACTAGGATACCCACCCCAGCCCGCTGCCTTTCACCAGGGGCAACTCCAGACTAAGACAGAGTCCAGCCCCTCTCCAGGAGACTGGTTCCAGAGCCCAAGCTGTGCATTGAGGTAAGCCCGACTATACCTTCCCCACCAGGGAGTTGACATTTCATGTCCCAGTCACTAGTTTTGGTAGTCAGGGATCGGTCTGCCAGGGCCTGCTCCTGGCGTACTCCTGGCTGCCACCCGACACACATTGCACCCGACTCCAACAGTGCCTCGTGCGGGTAGTGGGCCTACAGGAGGATGGGCCCATGTCCTTTGTCGAGCTGCACCTGCCCCATGGACTAAGGCCCGACCACCAGACGCTTGTCTCGAGGATCCTCCCGAAGACTGGCTCCAGGGTGGGGCCCCGGTAACCCTATCCCGTGCAGTGTGAACTGTTTCCTCAATGTTCTACTCATAGTGGTCTTTTGAATCGCTCTTTGTCTCTCCCCTCGCGTTGACAAGCTAAACAAGCGGCTAAACAACCGTTAGCGCGGTTAGCTCGTTAACGTGTTAGCGCTGTACAGCCCACGCACAGGACAGACTGCGTTAACTCGCTAACGGAGATTTGCCACATTAATGCGGTTGTGGTGTTAAAGTCATTTTGTGTGTGTGTGTGTGTGTGTGTGTGTGTGTGTGCATTGAACCAGGTGGGTTGGATCCTATCCTGTCTTGATGAACTGGCATTAACCCCCCAGCCTCCGGTTGCTGTGTTACCACTTGGGACAGGAAATGACCTTGCTAGGACCCTTAACTGGGGAGGGGTGGGTACAAACTAAGAAACACACACACACATCTAACATGAATAAATCCAGATTCCAGTCGCTGGCTGCTGGAAGTCAAACTCCTTTGTATCAACATTTATCATGTCTTCTAACTCTTGTGTGTGTTTTTACGTTTAGCTTTACCTCCAGTCTGTTTATAGGTTTGGATTAACCCTGAGTTTCACCTCCTGTAGCGTTTGATTTTGGAAGTGACAGTTTTTTTTAAAAGTAAAGAATGAAGTAAAAAAGCCATGCAAAGTGTTTTAGTGAGCCTTTGACTTGGCATGAATTCTACAAGTGTCTGCAAAGTGCTGGATGGATGGAACAACATTCTCCCCAAATTTATTTTGGTTTGTGGTGGTGCCTTAAACATAGGCACATAATCAGCCACAGGAGGGGCCATAGCTTTTTATTTATTTTGATGTATTTTAATTTTGTGCTCTGCGGATGTTTGCACGCTGGAAAGCATGCTATGATGAAGGTGAACCCTCAGAACTTTCCTTAAATGTGTCACATATCTGTATATTTGTGCGTGCATTTCTGTATGTGAATGCATTCAGGGCTACACGGATGAACCTCTGTCTAAGATCCTGTCTCATGTGGAGGAGGGAACAGTTGTTCAGCTAGACAGGTGGAACCTCCTGGTTGAACCAAACCACAGTGCAGGGGCTGAGCCAGATGAACAGCAAACTGATAAGGTCAGTGCATACACACGCACGCACATGGACACGCACAAACACGCACATGGACACACACACAAACCTGGGACTCTCTACCATTTGGTTTTGGAACTGAAGTAGCTTCTCAGATGACAAGTGAAACATCTTCAAGAAATGTAAAGAACTCCAGATGCTTTCTTTCCAAGCTCCTTACAACACACACACACACACACACACACACACACACACACACACACACACACACACACACACACACACTCTCAAGCAATGGCTTTACCAGTGTGACCTCAGCTAACCTGTGTGTGTGTGTCTGCATGGTCTCAGCTTCCTTTGGATGTTTTCAACAATTACTTCAGCCTTGGATTTGATGCCCACGTGACTCTTGAATTTCACGAGTCGAGAGGTACAAACACCACTGTGACACAAAGATTCACATTCTGACTTGTTGTTTGGTGGCTCTGCATGTGCTTCATTTACTGTCTGTGACTGTTTCAGAGGCCAACCCAGAGAAGTTTAACAGTCGTTTCAGGAATAAGATGTTCTACGCTGGGGTGAGTTTACCCTCAAGTTTAAAATCATGTTGGAAGCATGTGTCTTTAATAATGATCCAACTTAAAGGACCACTGCTCGTTTTTCAAACTCTGTTCCAATCAGTCAATCATGTCTGTGTGACTGGTGCAACCAATAAGCAAAGAATAAGGGCCTGCTTTGATGTCATGATGCACTCCTGCTTGTCTCACACAGACGGCATTCTCAGATTTCCTGATGGGAAGCTCCAAAGACCTGTCAAAGCACATCAAGGTGGTGGTGAGTAGCTGTCAGCCAAACGTCTGTCTGTCCGATTCAGATCTTATACACTGTATTCAGATACAGTAGAGTATGGCCCAAGCAAGAGAGTACTTATCATTGGTAACTGCAGTGTGTGCACACACCCAGTCAGAGGTTTATGGAGCACTCAGATAAGAGGAAGTGTGTGATTGGGTGAGTGTGTGAATATGGCATGTTGTATAGAGCACTTTGAGTAATTGGGAGAGTAAAAAAGCTCTATATTAGAATCAGTCCATTCACTGTCTGATCAGAGTTTCGTCATGTTACGTTTGCACTATTATGTTCCGGTACATGTTGTTATTACAGGGCTTGATTAAGGCACAGATTAGGCTGCCATCTGGGCCAGCAGTGAGTCTGCAACTGGCCCGTGGCTGCACACCACCTACAGATGGCCCACATACTGCCTTTGGTGGCCCAGATCAAGTTTGCCAGAGGTAATCCACACATGGGCCAGCTCAGGACCACCAGTGTGTCTGCAACTGGCCTTGTGCTGGCCTATGTGTGGGCCACCTCTGGCAAACCTGATCTGGGCCACCGAAGGGCCGTCATTCTTTGCAGTATGTGGGCCATGTGTAAGCACATTGTGTGGGCCGGATCCGAGCCATACGAGTTTTGCTATGTGGGGAAGTGTGAGTAAGGATCAGCTGAGTGAGGCGGTTAGTCTTTGTGCTTCTCTTTGGCATTTTAGGACTTTTTCCACGATGATGCCAAAGTGATGAGTTTAAGTCCATCTGTATGTCTCTTCCTCTCTTTGTCTCCCTCTGCAGTGTGATGGGACAGATTTAACATCAAAGGTTCAGGACTTGAAGCTACAGTGCCTGGTCTTCCTCAACATCCCCAGGTCAGTCAGTGTACTGACAGAAAACTGCTACTTGTACACATTACCATCTATGTAAGCTGTGACTAGTAACACAAAGACATACATGCCAGTCAGGCTGCCGGGTGTGCAGCATTAACAAATGTAAAGGGTGCTAGATCCTAAGTCAGCCCTATCAGGAGAGCTTTGGTTACAAAAGCATGTTGTGTTTGTCATGTGTTGTTACATTAATGGCGAGAGTCCAAAGGCACATTTCCTACTCAGATTAAAGAGAAGCAGAGCCGCTGTAAATATCATGAGAGAACTGCAGCTGTGGTGTTTGAGCAACGTTCATTCAAACAAAGAGCGTTGGACACTCACGGTGAAGCAGGTGTTTCTGTGTTCGTGATGGTACTTGTTGTGTTCCCAGGTATTGTGCAGGCACCACACCGTGGGGTAACCCCAGTGAGCATCATGACTTTGAACCTCAACGCCATGACGACGGATACATCGAAGTTATCGGATTCACGATGACTTCACTGGTATGGCGTTCTCTCTGTGTCCTGGTAACCATGGTTACAAAGGAGGATGACCAGCTCCCACCTGAGAGCCTTTGTCTTGTGTTCAGTTTTGTTTTTGATTTAGAACGCATCTAAAAATCTGTCATAATTACAGAATTATGGCAGATTATTAGGTACACCTTGCTACTACCACATAGATACAGCAAAGAGATGGAAACATCATCATATTCACATGATAGCATCACATGGCTGCTGCAGATCTGTCAGCTGCCTGTTCTTGATCCCAAACCCCATTCAGTACATCACAAAGGTGCTGTGGGGCTGATGAGTACAGTGAACCCACCTTCATGTTTGAGGACCCCGTGGTCAGCAACAATACTCTGGCAGGCTGTGGAGTTTAAACAATGCTCGTTTGGAACTTGGGACCCAAAGGGTGGCGAGGGGATATGTACCAGCAGCAGCTCGAACGGTTTAAACCAGGCAGGATGGAACTGTGCTCTTTGTTCTTTACACCACACTGTGTCATCAATCATCACGCCGGGCATCGTCTTCCAGTCTGGCTGTCCAGTGTGAGCCTTTGCAAACTGTGCACTCAACTTCCTGTTCTTGGTTGATAGAGGGGCAAAAGCTGTGTTCTGCTACTATAGCCCGGCTGCTTCGAGGTTCAGTGTGTTGTGCATTCAGAGATGCTCTTCTGTATCCTTGGTTGTAACATGTGGTCATTTACCAATCAGCTCGAAGCAGTCTGCCCATTCTCCTGACCTGATACGTCAACGTCAGGTTATTTTATTATCAGAGGCTGCTATTCATGCTTGAATTCAGCTCTATGGCCAATTTAAACTCACTAGTTAACCAGCTGCTAATGTTTGTTGTGGGCTGCAGATGTTTCAGGTGGAGCCTCCTGGTTGAACTTAGAGTTTCACTTAGATGGGACAGGTCTACATTTAGCTTTTTCTGTTTACGTTTTCTGATAGAAGCAAGGATCTGTCCTAATTATTACATAATTATTATTATTATGTTGTACAGCTGAAGTCCTTTGATGCAGAGCTCTTTAATAGGAGCTTTAATTGGACTTAGTGATTTGAAACGTCCACCAGAAGTGGGAGTGTTGTGTAAAAGCACTGTATTCCATGCAGTCTGAACTGAAGTTGTTCTGTGTGTGTGTGTGTGTGTGTGTGTGTGTGTGTGTGTGTGTGTGTGTGTGTGTGTGTGTGTGTGTGTGTGTGTGTGTGTAGGCTACTCTTCAGGTTGGAGGTCATGGTGAGAGGTTGAACCAGTGCAGAGAAGTGATCCTCACCACTACTAAACCTCTCCCGGTGCAGGTAAATGGTGCACATGAGCCTCTTCCTGTAGCCATGTGCTTTTTAATATTGAATGTACACCTTTGGGCTGAGGTAACATCCAGCACTGTCACTGAACCTGCTTCCTGTTTACACTTGTACCCATCGTTCCCACTGACTGGCTCTCAAGTAACACCTCGGTCTTCTGCTGATGTCTAAGTACATTTGGGTATCAATCTGTGGGCTGCTTAGCTGATTGCGTTTTTGATTGAGGCTATTGCTTTTGTATTGCTTTTAGGTGGACGGTGAACCTTGCAGACTTGCTCCATCAGTCATCCATATCAGCCTCAGAAACCAGGCCAATATGGTTCAGAAAACCAAACGGCGAACCTCTATACCACACCTCAACGAGTACGTTCTTTTTAGTCACTCACTGCAGCAGCAGCCAAATCCATGTGAGCAGCGTGCATCATATGACACGTGCGGGTTTCACTGAGCATTTGCTAAAAGTCTTTGGGCCGTGTTTGTGTCTCAGTCAGCAGCCGGTCCCGGAGAGGCTGAGGATCAGAGTCAGCCGGATCAGCATGAGTGACTACGAGGCTCTGCACTACGACAAGGACAAACTGCGGCAAGCATGTAAGGAGAGACACCCTCACTAACATCTGTGTGTCCACTCGGTCACATTGCTGACGCATTCTGCTTCTGTCTTCATATGCACGCTTCACTCATAATGTCACAAGTAGAGTAAAGTGTTGCTGATTGGCCAACACAACACTCAAACACCTGGAATTTGGCTGAATTTCCTGCTGGCTGGGATGCAAGTAACTGAATTTGATAACATCAGCTCAAAGAAGTAGGGACAGGAGTACTTAGCGATGAACCTGCCACACACCAACTTTTTAAAAATATGTAATTAAATGAAAAGTTGGCACGTTGGCAGATTCAATAAACCGTCGGCTTATGTAGCGTAGCTGAATGACAGCAGCATCTTCAGGCTGACAAGGAAATAAAAACTGCTCGATGATTGAAAGGTGGAGAAGAGGCGTGAAGGTCAACATGCTCATTTTCAGCCATCTCAGTCGTTCCTCATCGCTGTGCTCGCGTCAGACCTCCTCGTTTCAGTTCATGCTGCACAGACAGCAGAGAACAGCGCACGTCTCCGATGTTTCAGGAATATAGAAAGGGACGGCTCTATGATCTTCCTCATTAGAGACAATTACAGTCAGTGGGCTTTGCAGCCGTGCACATGCAGTGCTATGTCAGACCACATGGTGGCGCTGTTACCTTTGTTGTTACAAACAGCACGTTTCATAACACTGTAAACTGGTAATAATGGTAAATTTTATGTGTTTCATTTGCAAAGACAACATATGATTGCAGGTCTTTGCCCAAAGTGGAAACATCGATATTAATATTTTTCATTGCTTATTAAGAATTCATAGTGGCATTACCTCATTGCTTTGTTTTCAATGTATTTCCAGCATGTTTTGGTTTCAGATAATTAGCGTCATATTTTATGCCTCGTTCTCTGTTCTCGCTTGCAGAAGTTTTCATTATGTAAGTCCATCACTGCTCTCAGCTTGTAGATGTGTCACACTCAGGGAGACGCTTCAAAAAAGAAAAACATTTCACAGCCAGAGGCTCAGTGTATCATCTCAATGCCACTCCTGTGGCTCTGTGTGCACGCGAAGCACAGAATAGAGACTCTTAATAAAGGTTGAAGGATGTTTAATAACTATACGGTTTCATTACATTTATTGTTACTACCCTCTGTGAAATGTGAAAACAGCAGCTCACTTTTAGTTGTAGCTTATTATCTGTAAGCTGTGACTGCGTTTCCAGTCAGGCGCCGAGTCAATAGGAAATAAAAGAGAAGAGAAATTGCGAATGTGCAAGCTGCTGAATCGAAACCACTGAAAACAGCACAATAGAAAGAGAATAGAAACGTAAAGTTAGCAGTGCTGTAGTACTGTTCGCACTAACACTTCCAAACACTAGCAGGGATCTTTAGAAGTGTTGGAATTATGGCTAACTGGAGGTAAACACTGCAGTCTGAGAACGAAGGCGTTCTTCTCTTTGTCTGAAGGTTCACAGTTTCCCTGGAAAACAATCTGCCTGTTTTACTGGTTCTACATGTTTTTGCCTTGTCTGTTACTTGAAAAGGTCAGTGTGTGCCGCTACAAATGCAGCAGCTGCCTTTGAAAGCAGCGCTGTGGCGACTGTTTGAAGGTGTGTCTGGCTAACAGACCGCTGTCCGCGCCTGCTTTCAAGAAATATTGTGAGAGAAGTCAATTAGCAAAAAAGTAAACAAGCCACACTTTTCTTGAACCTGTCAAGCTTTCACTGGGCTGCTGTTAGTGAAGCAACCGTCGACTTTGTCTCCCTCGCTGAGGTGTGTGTGTGTGTGTGTGGGTTCAAGTCTTCACGCAGTCTGACAGCTTTTCCAGCACAATGAGCTGTGTGATGTTCAGCCAGCAGTGCTGTGCTGGTGCAGGCTGCTGGCCTGGGCTGCCTCGTGGGGCACTTTTTTTTCTTTCAGCATCCACATCGGCTTACTGATGGGAAGCCAGCTTGGTCAGGCTTATTTATTAAAATAAAAGTTACTGGTGCCATTATCAATTTGGCACTAAATACTAAATTCTGGCCCTGGATGAAAACCATCTGATGTGCAGTTGTCCAATATGTTGTCATTTTACGGACTCAATGACTCATTTTAAAGAAAACGTCTTCTGCTCCTGCTTGTGCTGCTCGTTTTGTCACAGGGAAATTAAATTCTTACGTTAACTGAATGAAGGTGTTTACTTACAGTGGGGGAAACAGTTCGCAGTTCCCAGTTTGGCCCATAGGAACCACAGTACTGCCGACCGCTCACATGTATACTTTGTACCATTTAAGTGCGATCCCAGCTCTGAGTCACGCTGCTACATGACCAGAATTAGACTCTCAGGGTCCTGAGGACTGCAGAGTGGATTAGTAGATATCAAAGTGCTGGTGGATAATTGTCCTGTTCCTCTGTATCTCCAGCCATTCCTCTGGGACTGATCGTGGTTCCTGGTGACAGTGACTTAGAGACCTGCAGAGAACACATCCAGCGATTACAAGAGGTAAGAAGAAGAAGAGAGAACAAGAGTGGCAGAGGAGATATGTTGAGATGAAAGGGTCATTGTTCTGTGTTATTATTTTATTATTTATTTATTTTGTGCAGTGACACAAAATCGTGAAGAAGCACGAAAACTCTTTTTAAAAGTTGGAGTAAAGCTAATTAAGCTCCGTGTCTGTGCGTGAGTGCGTTTCCTTCTACATTCCTGCTCTTATCTTTACCTTTAGGACTTCTGCTCTCTTCATCCTATACCTGTGGGACTGCAGGTTGGTAGTAAAATGTCGGGCTTTATGTTCTACACTTGTTTGGCTCAGAGACACATGGGAAATAAAAGCTTGCTCAACACTTTTGTATTCTAGTTTTAATCGGAAAACAGACTCCTGTAGCAATGAAAGCCGAATGTTCACAGTAATCAAGAACATTTAAAAATTTCGTTTTTCCTTTTGTTGTTAATGAAACTGATTATTTTTTTATTATCTTGAACGTTTTGGTTGGTTAAGAATCCCCCTGAGAGGTTCATCTTGGTAATATTGATTTCTATGGTGTGCATAGCCTGAATATGAGAGCATCCAGAGTGAGTGTGTCTACAAAGAGATCTGCAGTAAAAAGTGTGACTATTGGCCAAAATATTACTGACTTGTTCTGTTGTTCTATTATCTTTGAGTGCAGTTTTATTTAACTTTATAGAAAAACTAGAATACCATAGTTGGGTTATTGACTGCTACTGATGGAAGCATCCAGAATAATCCTCAACCTGTCTTTTAGACCCCATTCCTACAAAACTGCTCAAAGAAGTCCTGCCATTAATTAATTCTTCGATCTTAAATATGATCAATCTATCTCTAATGATCGGCTATGTACCACAGGCCTTCAAGCTGGCTGTAGTTAAACCTTTACTCAAAAAGCATCTCTAGACCCAGCAGTCTTAGCTAATTATAGGCCAATCTCCAACCTTCCTTTATATCAAACATCCTTGAAAGAGTAGTTGTCAAACAGCTAACAGATCATCTGCAGAGGATCTTATTTGAAGAGTTTCAGTCAGGTTTCAGAGCTCATCACAGCACAGAAACAGCTTTAGTGAAGGTTACAAATGATCTTCTTATGGCCTCTGACAGTGGACTCATCTCTGTGCTTGTCCTGCTAGACCTCAGTGCAGCGTTCGATACTGTCGACCATAATATCCTATTAGAGCGATTAGAACATGCTGTAGGTATTACAGGTACTGCACTGCAGTGGTTTGTATCATATCTATCTAATAGACTCCAGATTTGTGCATGTAAATGGAGAGTCCTCTTCACACACTGAGGTTAATTATGGAGTTCCACAGGGTTCAGTGCTAGGACCAATTCTGTTTACATTATACATGCTTCCCTTAGGCAGCATCATTAGAAGACATAGCATACATTTTCACTGCTATGCAGATGACACCCAGCTCTATCTGTCCATGAAGCCAGATAACACACACCAATGAGTTAAACTGCAGGAATGTCTTAAAGACATAAAGACCTGGATGGCCGCTAACTTTCTGCTTCTTAATTCAGATCAAACTGAGGTTATTGTACTCGGCCCTGAAAATCTTAGAAATATGGTATCTAACCAGATTCTTACTCTGGATGGCATTACCTTGGCCTCCAGTAACGCTGTGAGGAACCTTGGAGTCATTTTTGACCAGGACATGTCCTTCAACGCACATATTAAACAAATATGTAAGACTGCTTTCTTCCATTTGTGCAACATCTCTAAAGTTAGAAATATCCTGTCTCAGAGTGACGCTGAAAAACTAGTTCATGCATTTATTACTTCCAGGCTGGACGACTGTAATTCATTATTATCAGGAAGTCCTAAAAACTCCCTGAAAAGCCTTCAGCTGATCCAAAATGCTGCAGCAAGAGTCCTGACAGGGACTAGAAAGATGAAAGATGCTTAGTAGTGCTTTTCTACCTCCGGTGCTAGTATGTACAGCTCTTCACTCATGCCCAATACTCTAAACTAGTCTTAAACAATACGAATGATCGAAGAACTTGGCTGTATCTTGCCCATCTTCTGCACTGAGAGCGGATAACCACCACGTTCAGTGCTGTACCACTACGCCACCAAAAGAAGTCTGGTTAAATCCAGATCAATCTGCCCTCACATACGGTTAATAATCAGGCTCTATTAATGACCTTGTAGTACCATATCACCCTATTAGAGCACTTCGGCTCTCGCTCTGCAGGCCTACTTGGTAAAAGGTAAACGTGTTAGAAAAAGATGGAAGGTTAGACAAATAACATAATCGAGCAAATCGATTATGAATGAAGCTTTGTTATCTCAAAATAAAAAATCTTGAAACTTCTGTTTATACCATATGTAGGTTTTGCTCTACACTAGACAACTGTGGTAAAAATGTGAACGAGTGTGGGTTCAGCCTTCAGTAGAAACATTTCTATGCAAAGTCTGACCTTAGGAAATATCAGTTAATACAACAACATTCATTTTTAGGTTTCCACAGAGCAGAGCCAGAGCAGAGCCAGAGCAGCGGTAACGTCTGACAGCAGGGTTGCTGAAGGCATCAGTCGTCCTCCGTCCCTGATGGAATATTTACTCCATCACACAAGCACCAGACACAGCACACAGATATAAGAATAAGAAGACAGTATGGGCTCCGTGACACAGTCACTTCCACGTGGTGTGTCTTAACAATGAGCTTCAGACATTTCACGTGGACTTAGTTTCTCTTCCACATAAAGTCTGATCGATATTCGCTGCTCATTCTTGCTGTTTATTCGAAGGCACGTGGACACAGTTATTAAAGCGAGTGTTGTATTATATCCTCCCATCTATAACAGAAGATGAGCTAAAATAAATAATAAATAATAAATAAGCTAAATCCGTTCTGTTAAAGTCAGTTACACTCAGCTGCTCTACTTTTTTGCTTTCAAGATTTCATTTCGTAAATGAGAAGCACAACTTTAGATTGAAACTAATTAACTGGAGAATATTTGTGAGTCATATATTAGTATAATCAATCAATCAGTACAAGGAGACGAGCACATGAGTTTACATGATAAAGGAAGCCAACATTGAAACATACATGTTTAAGTACAAACTCTCCTGGAAACTGCTGAGAAGTTTCATTATGTGCTGCAGCATCTTCTTTCATGATATTCTTCTCCCCACGTTTCCAGCTCAGTTTTCAGTTCGGCCACGATGGAAAAAATGTCTGTAGACCTTCCTCTTTGTGTCAGATGCTAAATATCACATGAGCACGAGCAGTGTCCATTATGGTTGCGTAATGTGCACATAGTTTCTATGGAAACCTGCTGTACTGTATGTGTGAAAGAGCAAAGGAGTTATGCTACCAAAGAAATGAAGCCAGTGACCTTACAGATTTCCTGTCTGACCAGCTTTTAGTCTGCCAAACTCTGGGATCTGTTTACTACATCCTGAATCCATCTTGTTAATGAAAGGCTTAATGATTCAAACAAACAACATACACTGCCACACAGTATATGAAAGCCAGGCTGAGATGTTAGATGTTGTTTTCTTGCTTTAAAAAGTCAGACGTGACACTTTTACAGATGTTGGATGAGCACAATAGATGAAATGGATTTTTAATGAGTCAGCATCAAGTCAGGTGTTACTGTGGGAAAAAATGAGGTCTTGCACCGAGTCTGCAAAACTATGACTGCAGATTCTTATCAGCATTTTAGGTGTGAGAGTCTTACACAGGTGTTCCAGTTTTAGCAGATCAACCACCAGCCATGAAACCAACCTAGTTCCATCTGTGGTTGACAGGCTGTCTGTATATAGCTCTCTTACTTCCAGAGGCCGTTCTCTCAAGCAAAACATAAAGCTAGAATAATCTGGCCTCCCCGTCTACCACCATCAACCAACCAAATGTCTCTTTTGCCACGATCGGTGATCTTCTTTACACCAGGTGTTGAAAGCTGTGACTTTCTTCACTCATTCAGACCTAATGCAGCATTTTGTTAACAACTCTGGTAGAGCTATCTGTGTTAATGTTGTTGTCATAGTCAGTGTTGGCCTTATCACTCCAGTTCTACTTAAATAAGATTGACTCAATTGGGACATCCAGCGAAAATCCCCCTTTTCAAGAAACTGCAGCATTCATGTTGTTTCAGAAATGAGTGCAGCCGTTAGCTCCCAGATTATATCCCGTACTATATATTCCCCAACTCATGTGTGATGTCAACACAACCAGGTCTCTTCCGGTGCCTCACAGACGCTTCTAAGCTCGGTGACAACCCCTAATAACACTCTGCAGAGCTACTTCTTGTTAGCTTTTCTGTCATCCACCGCTGCTTTCTGAGCAGTATTGTTGCCAGCAACCGATTCAGGGACGGTGGCTTTTATAAAAATGGCTGTTTAGCGAAACAAAACAAGGCAACATTATACATAGAAAACAAAACTTTCCAGTCTCTCCTCAAATGACAGTTTACGTCAGCATGGCTGCAAATTGCTGAGCGCTATTTCCATTCATACCATCCGGACACGTCTTCACTACACTTTATTCTCCATGTAACCCCTAACACTGTCAGAGAATGAATTACCACACGTCTCTGTGTTTATACACTGGCTGCACCTACATGAATAAAAGTACTCTCAAAACAAACAGAATCTGAGAGAAGGGGAACTAAAACGCACCGTGAGGTCACATAATGTAATCTTTGATTCCTGATAGCGTTTTGTTTTCAAGGAGACTTTCCCCATGTGTCTCAGTGTGACTGCATGATGCATGCTGTGCTGTATCTGACTCGCTTTGAGTTTCTTCATGTGTTGGTAACCTTGAAGTATTCTGATTACTTGTGTATTTCCGTGTGGTATCTGTGGTGTCGTTTGTGTGCAGCAAAGTTAATAGTTGAGTTTGACCTGGTGTGCAAAGTATGTTGGGTTTGTCATATAATCCCCAAATTATTAAAAAAGTTAGCATGAATACTCAGTTACCTGGAATGGTAGATGTTTTTCGTTCATTCGTGTACTAAACTGCACTGCCTGCTCACGGTCTCTTCAAGTCGATGATTTTGTTCTTCTGACTCAATCAATCAAACTATTACACAGTACAGTTCTGATTTGAGAGGTCTATTTATAGCTGTATCCAGATATCAAGGGTTGTTGAGCAAAGATTAAAACCATTAAATCTGCACAGCTAATTCTAGTTACTTGTGCTTTAGAAAACCTTTAAACTACCTGAAGCTCCAGAAGGACTAGTCACAAAGCAAAGCCAACAGGTAATTGCTCAGGTTCTAGGAGTGAATCACTCTGA